GGAAAAAGTATACTTATTAAAATGGAAAAGCTTAGGGCACGAACCAAAATGAAAAAAAAGGGCAAAAATATCAAAGGTGAAAAGGGGAATTTCTCGCACTTGAAAAGACGTACTCACAAAGAAGAAAAGAGAGGCTTATTTAGGAGAACAGAAGATTGATATTGTTTAGTTGTACGATAACATCACTCAGTTTGATTTGATTGGAGATATATCTCATTAAAAACAGAGTAAAAGCTATACAGTATCAAACAAACCTACACCATTAAACTTCAAGCTCACTCACACATGATTTATTGCGACACTTTCAAGGCTACTATTTCAAGTTCATGTATATACAAAGGGCAACAGCTTCAATATTAAACGTAATTAAATAATTGGTCTGGAACATGTTAATGCCCATTGTTGTATATTATACAACATTTTCCATAACGATGAATATACATTGTATAATGCAATTTTCAGGAAAACCATACTTGTCATTACTGTTATATTTGTTATATGATACTAATTTAAAGCAAATCGTTTCGCTTATCGATAAGATAAATCAATGTGAAGTACGTGTCAAATAATGAAATCATTACGTGCTATTTTTAACCGGACTAGACATTTGAAATGTATAAAAAATGTATACACTATTGACAGCAAGCAAGTTTTTTAAACAAAGAATTCAGAAATTGTACAACATTGCACATTTTAGTCTACACGGCATGCTCTACACCCTTAGTTGGACTGTAAACAGTTGTCTTCTTAAGTCTTCCATATAAATATAAATTTAAAGGAGGTCAATAATCATTATGAAAACACCACTTTTGTAAGGTTGACACATCAATATATATTGTGCACACATGTAACAATGTGATAATATTTTTTCTTGGGGGGGGGGGGACGGGAAGAGGGCAATCCAAAAAGGGACTGATATGTGAACATTAATATTGATAGGTCGCTTCACAAAAGGGGCATACATAGTCCTTTTTTGTGGATAGTTTTTTGAGCAAAACACAAAATAGGTGGAGCCAACGTCCACACAGGTCACATCGCACCCATGGAGGTTTTGGCCCGAATTTACAAAGGAGGTTTATCGACAAATCTATGTTTATGTGCTTCATATGTCGCGTTTCGATGCGTTTCAGACCAAGGTTTAGACAAACCTTGGTCTGAAACGCGTCATATAATTATGACGCACATAAACATAGGTTTGTCTACAAATTACCTCCTTTGTGAATTCGGGCCTTTGTGAATTCGGGCCTTTGTATCTGTGTCCTTCCCTGGCTTTTCACACGATACATTTTTCCCCCATGTCTTTTGCGAGATGCCCCACATTCCGAGAATTTATTCTCTTGGACACAGCTAGAGCGTTCTGCAATATTATTGAAAGCGAAATGTGCGAGTCAGGGGCGGCGATCCCGGGGGAAGGACGGGGTACACGTCTTCCCTCAATTTGTGAGGGGGGTCGTCCCCCATGGATAATTTGAAAAAGTGCACACCAACAAAATGTATAGCAAATACTGAATAAAGACTGCAACACGCTTTAAGGCTCTGGTGGGCCCAAGAGTACAGCGTATAGACTAATAGAAATGCTAAAATTTTCTCGCTCGGTCGCTACGCTCCTTCGCATAATATCCTAAAAATATACAAGTAAATATTGTAGAAAATATGTATTCTGTTAGTATCACGTATGTACAGTTTACACTGTATGTTAACAAAATTAAAAGTTATAGAAATAGATCAGTGTTCCAAAAATGAATATTCAGCTTGCTCTTTTAAGAAGTCCCTTCCTGCTCAGTACTTACTAAAATTTACCTAGTAAATATTTACAACCCTTCGGACTGCACACTGCACAAAGTAAAAGTGAAGCGTGAAAAAAATATATTGCTTGTTTTTATGCTATAGTTTTGCTAAAGAATGTAATTTTGTAACACAACAAAACTTCAAAAACCTGTGAGGGGTTTACATATAAGACTTATCATACAGCTTTATGGGGGTAGTCCCTTCCGTCACCTCCGCCTCTTTCACTGGCGTACCAATGGGGGGGGGGGGGCCGGGGCAGTAACCCCCCCCCCCCAATACAATTTAAACATGGGTTATTTTCAATTTGATACCAGTGATTTACAAGTATTGCTAAAATGGCAGTATTTTTCCATGAGCTCCGGGGGCTCTACCCCCTGGAACCCATCAAGGGCCCTAAGGCGGACCCCTGTTTGCTCATCTGGCCGTAATTAAATGCCTAAAGTCCTTGAGCTTTCGGGGGCTCTGCCCTCTGGACTCAACCAAGGGGCCTAAGGCGGGTCCCTAGATGCGTAATTTGGTGCCTAAAAGCCCTTCCGTTAGTATTTCTTTTTTTTTTCTTTGTCTTTCTTTCTCCTTATCCTCTGCACTCTCCTTATGTATTTTTTGTTTTCCCTTTTCTATTACCTTCCCTTCCCTGGGTATACGTGCTTGCACATGTACTAATATATGGCTAAACAGTTTTGTAAAAAAAAATATGCGCAAACGGTCAAGGAGTATAAGAAGAAGGCAAAAAGAGAACAAAGACGGCATCCGTGGAACGGTGGAAGCCATGTGAGAGTGTCCACTTTTTTCGCTTTTACTTTCACCCTTGCATTCTTTCCTGAATCAGAGTTTTCTCACACCTTGTAGTCTCGTGCAGGTTATGATCTTGTGTGTGTGTGTGTGTGTGTGTGTGTGCGTGGGTGTGTGTGTGTGTGTGTGTGTGTGTGTGCGTGCGTGTGCGTGTGCGTGTGCGTGTGCGTGTGTTTATGTGTGTGCGTGTAACGAAATAACGTATACAATAGCTTGGCAATTCTCATGGTTATGAGATACAATATGAAAGGAAATGAGAGAATAATGGTCGCGTAGCTTAAATCAAAGTTCCCCATTGCAGTCCTCTCTTTTTGGATATTTTTGCATTTTGTTTTTGTAAGAGGTGTAGCGCCAGAAGAAAGAAGAGGAAGAAGAAAAGAAACAGGTGAAGAAGGGGATCGGGGGGGGGGGGCGAAAGGCCTTGCCTCCCAGGCTGTTGCACCCCCCCCCCCCCTCCAATCAAAAAATAAGAGAGAAGGAAGAAAAGGGAAAGGGTAAGAGGAGATAAAGGGAAGGAAAAAGAGGAAGAAGAAAAGAAAAAGAAGGGGATATCATTTGCAATTTTCCCGCCGGTGGATCGAGGAGGGGCAAAAGGCCCTTACCTCCCCCCGCCCCCGCTATAACAAAGAGAGAAAGAAGGAAAAGGGAAAGAGGAGAGCTAAAAGGGAACAAAAAAGAGGAAGAAGAAAAGAAAAGGGTGAAAAGAACGGGAGATCAGTTCCGGTTAATCCCGCCAACAACGTGTGGATCGGGGTGGGGGCCGAAAGGCCCTTGCCCCCCCCCCCTCGGCAAACCTTAAGGAGGAGAGAAAGCGAAAGAAGAAAAAAAGAGAACTGAGAAGAAAAAAAAAGGGGCACTGGCGTACTGATAGGGGGGGGGGCTTGGGGGAATTCAAATTCAAACGTGGTTTATTTCTAATTCCATAACGGCTTACAAATAATGCTGAATTCTTTCCGAGATTTTTCCTCAGTTTTGAGTAAATTATACTTTTGTATGCGTTTGTTGGAAAATGACAAATTCCTAAATTTACAGCCAGGCAAGAAATATGATTCTTGAGAAAAGTTAGGGCCTGGGGATCGGTTGGAGTCGCAAGCCTCGAGCCCCCCCCCCCCCCCCACTTTTTTTGAAAAGGTATAGTAAAGAGAAATAGAAATAAAGAGAGCAAGAAAGAAAGAATAGTACTAGCTGCTCATCTGACTGAAATTAAACGCCTAAAACCCCCTGAGCTTCAGGGGTTCCGTCCCTTGCACCCCGCCTAGGGCCCTGGATGCTAATCTGACGGAAATGTAATGCCTAAAACCCCTGTTTTCTGGGGGCTTCGCCCGCTGGACCTCACGCCAATTAGTGTCCTGCCAGTGTCACAAATAAGGTATAAAAAATATGTTCATCTGACCGTAATCAAATGCCTAAAACCCATGAGCTTCCCGGGTCGGACAAGGTATCAAAATTTGTTTCTCCAATGATTTAATGATTTAATGAAACGTAAAAGCTTCCGCGCTTCGCGCGAGAGGGGGAGGGGGGCTGAATTAAGACAAGGATTAAGAGTCGAGAACGGTACAACGAATCGTTTTCTTTCGTCAATGATTTAATGAAACGTAAAAGTTTCCGCGCTTCGCGGAGGAGGGGGGGGGGGGGCTGAATTTAGACAAGGATTAAGAGTCGAGCTTCCGCGCTTTGCAGAGGAGGGAGGGGAAAACTCGCCCCTCCCTACATCCCCCTGCATTACGTCACTGCTGGTCACCATTACGTACCAATATTTGGCTCGCATAATTTCAAATTTGGCCCCCCCCCCCCTAAGAAATCCTGGATCCGCGCCTGTCCTAGATTGATACAATGGAAAATGTATTAGTCAAAGTAGTTATGTCTTTTATGTCGTCGATTTTAACTCAATCTTTTAGAATATGATAACCTTAATTTTTTCATTTGATGAAGATAATAATAACAGATTTCATGTCACAGACAAAATATATAGCCTCATCAAACGTTATGGACAAAAACAATGTTTCGAAGTGCGTGGGTATCCCCCCCCTTTTTTTTTTAACATGATCCTGCATTCGTCTTCGCTATACCATTTACTAATGGCCCGACAGATAAAGTGCTAATCATGCTAATTATGTTGGAAAGGCTGGAAGGTAAGAGCTGAAAATGCCATTTTTTTAATTATGAAAGTTGAGGGTAAATCAGATGCTGATAGGTGTCCGAAAAAAGGGAGAAGATGGATTTACCTTGCATCTCTTCTGATAATACTCTCGCACAAAAAAAAAAGAAACAGGTAGGAAAATTTAAAACAAATCAGAAATGAAAACAAGAAGAGAATAATGATAATTTAGAATTAATGACATAGCAGAATCCAAGACCATGCAAAAAGATACCAATTTGACGTCACTTATTAGGGGCTCGAGCTGTCGATCGCGCCGCGCATGCGCGTAAATCAAGGTACCCTCTTTCCGTGGAATGGCGACATGTGCACAGACCAGAGTGCGAAACGAACGGAATTTATGAAAATACTGTGATAAAGATTGAGGACTAGATAGTACTGCCGCATATTTCTATGGAAATCATTTAGACAAAAAGGGTCCATATTAGCTGAGCATATATTGGAATCTCTGTGAGCAGAAATTTGGAGCCGAAACGCGCCATATAGTAAAAAGGAGAACGGTAAGGACACGTACAAATCCCTACCTGACCGCCCGTACATATGGCCCAATGCCGTGGCTTGCAATGCCAAAAAAAAATGGTCCATGTTGAAATTTATGTATTTTTCTTGTTAATGTTTCAGTTCTATGTCATTCTGATAGCAATATTTAGTAATTTATTATCTTAGTATACATAATAATTCACTGTTTATGAGCAGATCTATTAAAAAATGCTTGAAATCTGCTCTTGTTTTTCATGCATTTCACATTGCCATCGCCTGTGGTGTACAGGCCGCGTGTGTGTAGCATTTGTGTACGCATTTGCTATGTGTGAAATATGAATGGACATTTTGTGCGGGATCACGGGCATGATACTGTACATGTGCGCGATCGGAACATGAATCATATGGCAATGTATGGATTGCAATTTGTGCACATGTTGACCCTTTCATTGCTTCTCTACTTCTCTATATTTTGTAAAAAGTGATTTCTTTTTTAAAGGGAGAACTAAAAATAATGTACAACTTAAGTTAGAGTCTAATTTAGTCTTTGCATTTTGTTAAACTGTTTAGTCTAGGCCTAGTTGATTATTCTATTTTGTCTCTTTCTCCCCTTCCTCTTCGTTCTCCTGTTCTTCTTGACCCTCTTCTCATCCTTCTTATGATTATCTTCCTCTTGATCTGCAATAAACAGTGTTAGATTATATTCAAAGTTATGAGTCGGTAGGGGCGCTGGTCCGAAAATAAGGATCGTCTATGTTAACGCTGACAGACTCGTCTGCATTTTCGCAGACGTTTCATATTTCCGATGAACTGGGGAAAATTTTCGTGGACAATCCTCATTTTTTAAGACCCAATTTGTCCGCGTTTACGAGGAAATCCTCGTATATGCAGACGATCCTCATTCTCTGACCATCGCCCCTACTGATGAATATGATTTAACAGTAAATGTAATATCTCTTTAACAATATTGAGTAATTCCCATGGCCATGCCTCCAGGGCCGAGCCTTATATTTTTCTGTGGTCCTGATGGGAATATCTAGGAATGATTTATATACCCCCCTTCCCCTTTCCAAAAGAAAATAAATTATTGTTGAAGCATTGCTGAACAAAGCATGAATTCATTGCGATCGGAACCATGGCTAGGCAAACCGTTGTCCCCTGATCATTCTTATAGTACTGTGAAATGAGTAGGGTCCATGTTAAGAAATAGAATCATGTTGAAATTTCAATTAATTTCATTCAGCAAAATGTCTGTTTTTCACTGTATACTAAAGAAAGAGACTGCTATTTTTTGCAAGTCTTTAAAGGGTCATTGTATTTGTTATAGTGATTAATGTAAAGTTGTAAAATAATTTTGTTCACCATTTCACTTTTTTTCTTCACCTTCAGATTCTCCTGTCTGTTCAAATTAAGATATTACAACTTTCTGGCATTTCAGAAGAGAGTACATGTATAACATCTCATGATGGCTGTACAGCAAGCATGAAGAACCCTACTTCGACTGTGTAGACACAGTTGCTTCAAAGTCGAACAAGAGCACCTGTAAACTATAAGGATTTGAGAGGATTTTGGAGTGGTACAACACAGTGTCAGGCATGGCTACTGAAGTGGCTAAACAGGCGAGCTACAGCAGCGCTGTGTTGGGACCACCAGAGAAAGTACCGCAAGACCTACTCCAGAACGAGAACCACCAGGTCTCCGAGCACGTCTCTGAGCAGGTCTCCGAGCCGGATTCCTCGGAATCTAAAGAGAATGTGAACCCATCTGCTCCTCCCCCAGGTTCACAAGACGGAAAAGACGAGGAGAAGGACGAGGAGAAGAATTCAGAGAAAACTGAAGATAAAAAGAAATTTGTGCCAGCGCCTCCTCCCAAGGTGAATGCATGGCATAGGAACAAGCAAACACCAACCGCTCCTGCTGTAGTGCCAAACAATGTACAATCGCCTACACCAGCAGCTGCTGCAGCAACATTGGCCGCTTCAAAGCAGCAGCCCCAAAGCTCCACTCAAAGACAATTATCCCACAATAATAAATCCCACCAGGTTAATAAGTCCGGGGGAGGTAGGACTAACTCAAGACAGTTTAATGGTCCGCGTGAGAAAAGTGCAAAGAGTCCAAAGGCAGAGAAGATAGAGAAGACTTCCACGAAAGACTCCAAGGAGTCGGAAGAGAGCAAGAAGGATGCGGCTAAGAAACGCACGGTTGAAGCCACTCCTGCTCCACCCCCTAAAGTAAATGCATGGACCAAAGCACCAATAAACTCAGTTGTGCCCCCAGTGGGGCCTCCAGTGGGGAACGGTGATGGGACGGACGACACTCCTGATCCAACACCCGTTGCTGTCATTACTCCAGGTAAGTTTGACATATTTTTACAAATTCAGATGTAGTCAAAATTAAGGTCTGCAAATCTAAAACAATCTGATTTTGTTTTCTAGGTAATTTGTAGAACTCTAGCAAGTTCTTTACTTCTCGAATCCCATTTTATTTTCTAAACAGATTAGATGCAGGAGAGGAGTAAATAAGTAATCATTATTGATGACTTGTCCAAAGAGCATCAATAATTTGTTTTACATAGTAAAAATAATAAGTAGCCAGTAATTTTGTTTGCCTGCCTACATCAAATTAAATTGTCACTGGCTTTCACTAGCCAATATTATCAGCTCTCTAAGTTAATCATGGGTGCTGTCAATTAAATGAAACACGATTGCAGCAGCATAAAGAAATAGAGAAAGAATGAACAAACACAAGAAGCAACAAATAAATACCTACATGGAGCAGAAAGTCTCGGTAAAATCATCCCAATAGGATACTATCCTATTTCATTTTTGTCTTATGTCTGAGAAAATTATTGCCAGAAAGTGAAAGCAATTTGAAACAACATGCAGATTTATAATAATTAAACACATATGTGTGATGTAGAGTGACTCTTTCTGTAATAGAGAAAACAAGAATTCATGGGTAATGTATACAAGATGAAGAAAGGGTGGTTATGTTGTGATATTTTTTAGGAAAAAGTGTGGTGGTTACTGTAAAAAAAATACATGGTTATATAAATTAGATTTATTTAAATTTCCTCAACAAGAAATGTACAAATGGTGTGCAATGAATCTAGGGCAAGACAATACAAGTATAATGTATGAAGAAAAAAAAGAAGATAAAATTTAAAAGTATAATGAGTACCGAATTATCACAATTTTCCTTTAAGCTGGGGTCCTGGTGATTGAAAACTGGTCGGGCCCTGATGTTCGATAAATTTCTACATGTGAGACAACAATACAGATACATGTACCTAAAAATTGGCTTGAGCAAGTCGGAAAGATGGCTAGAATTTTCAATTTTTACACCAGGTCTGAGGTGAAATTTTATTCTACAAATAATAGATATTTAATGATTTCATGGAAGATTAATGTTGGATGCCTATTTTTAAATAGTGAGAGTGTTTTCCTCATCAATCGTGTAGGTTACAGGTTCACAATCGCAACTGCAATGGCAATTATACATGTACAATTGTACATGTATGTGATTGCGATCAAAACATGACCCTGCATGTACATGTTTGAGAAGAAAAATACTCAGACAAATTGAGCCAAGTCTCGCATGGGGGGATTGGTGGACCGGATGGGAGAAATCAAATCTGGGCTCCAATGGGCATGGTCGGTGCCCAGTTTATAAGCTGAATGGCTCGGGCTCAAATAAATAAAATACAAACAAATATAAATCGAACCAAAGCAGAATGGTAATAGAAATGCACACTGTATTATCGTGGAGGTAGCCAATAAATAGTAAGACAGCAAAATAGTCTGAAATGAGTTGGCACCTGATAATTGTGGGTTTGTAGAGTTTTGCCCCAGTGTTGATCTTGCAAGTCATTGGATATGAAATTCAGCTTGTATGGTTAGTAATAAAATTCATAGTTGTGCAAGAATTTAAATGTTTTTGGATAATTGATGATATCAATTTGTGCAGTTTTTAGAATTCATAATTCCTCTTTTTTTCTCTTCCCCATTCTAATAGGGAATTTGAAACGTGAGCATACAGTGAAGAATTGATGGTGTTTTTAATTCTTTTAAAACACAATATATTCAATGATTGGCTGATTTGCTTGATCAAGCAGGTTTAATAAATATACTTGCGGATACCACCTTGGATAGACTGATAGTAAGAACACATTGCTAGCTATAGAATACCCTGCCATGTATCAGTACCAAGGGTTAGGGTTAGTGTAGGGTCAGGGACTCCGGGGGTTATGTTTAGGGTTAGTGTAGGGTTATGGTTAATGTAGGATCAGGGTTTGAAATATCTTTTTGTCTGTCTCCTTGGCCCTTGTCAGCAAAAATTGCCCTTTGCACATGCATCTTATTTTATCTGACCCCCTCCCTCCCCCAACACGCACACACACACACACGCACACACACACACTCTTACTTAGCATGAATGATGTTGTACACTGGCAAGGAACCAGTGTGTAATGATACTCATGCTCAGTAACAGCTGTGTTCATGATCATGGTCATGTTGTACATGTAGGCCAACGCAGTTGTATTCGCAAGTCGGTAGCTATGTGGAATTTGTTGTTGATGTTTACGTTCATCAGTAGAGCCATATGTATGGTCTGGATATCATGATGATGATACATTATGTGCGCCATTAACCTGTGCAATGTACATGTACATGTAAACAATGATAGTATTTTAAAGTTAACTTAATCTTTAGGTCTAGTAATGACTAAAATTAAAACTTTCACAGGTTCAAGTTTATACTCTCTATCCAAAAGGACAATACCTGCTTAACGATTGTGGTGGAAGAGAAAAATAGCTGACTAACAAGCAAACAAAAAAGATAAGAAAATCTAACCTCGTGGCATGACTGCATGTCAAGCAGGAAAACACATGGTTCAAAAGAAAATGATTTTCAGCACCTTTTTAAATACAAATCGATCTAGACCTACTCCATGAAAAAAAAAGTTCTTAATTTACATTTTTAAAAGATAATTTTTTTAAAAATGCAGTCCATTATCAAAATGTTATATTAGCTTGAAACAAATCTTGAATAGCTCACATAAAAAAAAATGGAAATACATGTACTTTACAGTATAGGCCTATAGCTTCATGTACACATGCACTAACTTGACTGAGCTGAAATTTGTTGAGATGAATGTACTCATGGATGCATGGTCTTACAATCTATTGATAACAACAGGGACAAGTGCGTACACAGTTACACAAGAATACACACACACGGACACACAACCTTGCACACACCTACATCATGTACACAGACTGCATAGACATATCTCATGGTCTAAGGTTACTGCTTGTACATCATTGCATGTATCTGATTAAAGAGCACAAAGGTCATTCAAGAAGCCTTTGGTAATTCCCAGAGTGGAATCATGGATATTGCAATTGTCACCAATCCAAATATGGTAGCCGCCATTGGCTGCTAATTGTTTGATTACTTTATCTTTGGCCGATATGGGCCGTACCTAGTCTTGGCTTTGAGAGACGTTTGTCTCCTTTTCCATTGATTCTGTTTTGTGCGGTCCAGCAGAACAATCACTTTCCTCTAGTTCTGTGTTGGTTCCTGATTGATTTTATTCTTTTTTTATGATTTTTTAAAAAATTGACGTACATGTACACAGTAAAACTATGAATGAAGTTTATTATTAAAAAGTTGTTAAAAGAATTCATCCCTTTCAATGGGGAGTTTTTTGTTTCAGTTGAGTGTCATCCATGCCTGACAACGACAAGTTAATATCAGTTTTGTTTCCTGATCAATCTTAATGTTCAATTTTTTTTAATTAACAAGAAAGATTCATGATTTAGAATTGTGCAATACTTTCATGTTTCTTCTAACCCCCATCCCCTCCCTATCAAATGGGAATTTTAATATACTGGTATAAGGATTGTTTTGTGTTTATTTAGAATCACTGTCAATGCCACTTCATGACAAAAATTGACTTTTACAAGGTATTGTATTAAATTTTAAAGCAACATCAAGATCTGGTCTAAAAGGGGTCTGAATTTAAGTCTCAAGTAGTGCAGGAAGGAGGGAGAAAAAAAATCACAGTTGGCAATTTTCCAGAAATAAGCAAGCATTGTTCATTCAGTACTATGGTCTCATGCAACATGAGTGGACCAGTGATATCTTGCAAGAAAGTCGTTTGAAAAACAAGAGTTATTAAAATATTATGGTTTACTTTCTAATTTAAATACAATGTCTTTATTTATGAAACTTGTGATAACAGGAAATCTTGTGCATGCATGGCAAGTTCACATACATTTATTTATGCTAGGTAAAGTGAAAGTGAATCTCTTCATTTATCATGAGGTACCATGACAAACTTCAACATTTGTTAAATGATGAATTACTAACTTAACACCAGGAACAAACACTTAACACCAGGAACACTTTACACTTGTGGCAAAAAAAAATATTGCCGGCCGCAATGTAACAGTTTACAGTGTAGCTCCACATACATGTAATGTAGGCTTGTTATTGACGCACCTTTTTCAAATTCAAGTAGTCTCAATTGAAAAATTAAAAAACGCAAATAAATGTTTCCTCTGAAATTTGTGGCCACTTTTTATTATGATTGCTGTCCAAATGATATAAATTTATACATGAATTAAGTTTTTAATGTATACCGCAATGATAAAAAGAAAATTAATTTTGTTTTCTGACACTATACCTGGTATACCATATGGAGTAAAGAAAACAACAAGACCTATGTGTTTTCTGTTTCAAAGAGGAATTCAAGCATGTAATGCAAGGTTATGTGTTGTGTGGCAGACTGTCAGGTACAGTACATGTAACATATGTTCACCAAATTCATGATATTGTCTACTTCATGCATGCTGGTATTATTTAGCTGTTTTGAACATCAATATCACATTTAATTGTAAATGTATTAATTTGACACTATTTTGCCTAGAAAGGTTGTCAACTGTGACATGATGGTTTTAATGCTAGCAATAAAAAGTCCTTTTAAAATTCTCTTGATGCACTAAATTGAATATTATAATTTATATTCATATAAAGTAAATCCAATACTTTCTCTGAATTTTTAACCCAATCTATTTTCAATGAGATGATTATTATAATTAGAAATCAGCAAACCTGTACAAAATATTTTGGCACATGTGTGATCATAATACATCATATCAGTAGCAAAAAAAACAACACAAGTAGATGAGATGTGCACTCTCTGTGACGACAATGGTAGAACCTACACACCAAGTACTCTTACTACATGCACGTACGACACACAGATATCAGTGTGTTGTGTTGTTGTAGAATAGATACCAAGTCCAGTCTATCCAGTGCATGCATGCATCATGAATCACACCCAGG